CTGTTATTAATTATCATTATGACTGCTGTTATTAATTATGACTGCTGTTATTAATTATCATTATGACTGCTGTTATTAATTATGACTGCTGTTATTAATTATGACTGCTGTTATTAATTATCATTATGACTGCTGTTATTAATTACGACTGCTGTTATTAATTATCATTATGACAGCTGTTATTAATTACGACTGCTGTTATTAATTATGACTGCTGTTATTAATTACGACTGCTGTTATTAATTATGACTGCTGTTATTAATTAAGACTGCTGTTATTAATTATGACTGCTGTTATTAATTACGACTGCTGTTATTAATTATGACTGCTGTTATTAATTATGACTGCTGTTATTAATTACGGCTGCTGTTATTAATTACGACTGCTGTTATTAATTACGGCTGCTGTTATTAATTACGGCGAGTGCGCGACCGCGCTGGGCGACGCGTCGTGCGCCGCCGGCGCCCCCTGTGAGCGCGCGCGGGGGCGAGGCTAGTCGGGCGACCACGCGATGGAAGAGAAGTGCGATGGCGGGGACGCGTCGCACCGGTGCTTTCTCTCTCTCTCATGCGTCGTCGCTCACACTCACGCACACTACTCCATATCAGTAGCGCGGCGGCGGCTGCGTCCCCCCTGTATGTATATATATATAGATGTGTCCCTGTATTGTGGCGCCGACGTAGCGTGTGCGATTGCTGTTCGGTGAGGCAGAGATCTGCGTGCGTGCGTGCGTGCGTGCGTGCGTGCGTGCGTGCGTGCGTGCGTGCGTGCGTGATTGTGGCACGGTCATGCGAGCGGGACAGCGGCGGAGCGAGCGTTACTTGCCCACGCGCTCGAGAATTTAATATATTGGGAGGAGGAGAGAGGATTTTACGCAGCGCGGCCGGATGTCTCACAAGATGCGAGCACGCGCGCGAGAGTTTTATGGCGCGGGTAGGACGCGTCGATTATTGTATTGTACAGAGCTGTTGACCATGCTTGCGTCTCTATCTGCAGCGTGGAGCCACTTGCAGAAGAGTAGCATGGAGAGATGGCAGTCGAATTTCCGGGAGTTTTCCCTCTATTTTAAACGGATTGATATTATATGCAAACGTCTGTCGTGGAGCGAACATGAAAAACGTACGATTTTCATTGTGTACGACTGCGTTCTACGTTTCTGTCTTCTGGCTTTTGTCTCGCTTAGTTAGTGTCTAAATCTCGTTTTGATTTGCAAACATAATTCCTTCTTTTATAAACATAAGCAAACATAATTCAAAATTAGTTCGCGTTAAAATAGTGTTTCGAGTATCAATCATAATTCTTTTTTAGTTTGCGTTAAAATGCCGTTTCGATTGTGAATCGTTAATTCCTTTCTAGTTCGTTTAAATCTCGTTTCGATTATCAATCATAATTCCTTCTTAGTTCACGTTAAAATCTTGTCTCGATTTGCAATTCCTTAGTAGACGTCTTCATCGTGTTTTGATTAGCAATCGTAATTCCTTCTCAGTTCACGTTAAAATCGTGTTTCGAGTATCAATAATAATTCCTTCTTAGTTCACGTTATAATCGTATCTCACTTGGCAATCGTAACCCCACCCACCCACTTTCCGATAAACTTCACTCGTTCGCTAACTTTCCCCTCGAACGGATCCCCTCGGACATTTCACGCGAAAACATGCTCGGACACGCGAGTGGATTTAATGGTGCACTTTTGCAATTTTATTCAGTTTTCATTTATGCGCGATACACTTGTGATGTCGATCGCCACGCCGCGCGGAATTCTAGCCAATCGCGCGTCACCGCCGACAACGAAACGACTTCCATTAAAATAAACATGTCAAAACTAAAATACGGATGCTATCAGCCGCCTAATAAATACAAAACGAGTCTACGAAACGAATCTGGATGTGGATCTGACAAACGCGCTCAATCGAGATGCAGGATCGTTCATGACGTTACACTCTTACATCCGTCACATTATTACAATTCCGACAGCCACGGCTCGCACACTCTGCTCCACACACGCGTCGCAGCCAATTTCAGAGCTTTTGGGTGAGTGATACGATGAAACACGCACTGCAGACTGATCCATGACGATGATGCACACATTACCAGCCGATAGGAATGCAACCGCGCTCAAAACTCCCTTTCGCAACACGGCGGGCGGTCTGCTGATAACGTGACAGAATTACATTTATAACACGGTTTATACAAGCTGTAATATACGGTTCATACGCGCCTCCCTTCTCCACGCCGCCCATGCGTGGTGGCGCCACCGTCCCGCGGCTACGATGACGACGCGCCTCCCTTCTCCACGCCGCCCGTGCGTGGTGGCGCCACCGTCCCGCGGCTACGACGACGACGCGCCTCCCTTCTCCACGCCGCCCATGCGTGGTGGCGCCACCGTCCCGCGGCTACGACGACGACGCGCCTCCCTTCTCTACGCTGCCCATGCGTTGCGGGTCTGCGACGGGTAGTGGATCGGCACAAACTGCTGCTGCTGCGGCACGACGTAACCGCCTGGCACCGGAGCCATCGACACGACGCCCCCTGGTGGCCGCGGGAGGTTCGGGTACCATGTTCCCGGCGGACGCAGACCTGCAAAACGTCGAAAAAAGCGTCAGCTCACCAGGTGGCAGCACGATGGGCTCGGCGTTCGGTTTTGCCCGCATTGCCGCCGGAACTTTTCTCGCGGCTGGGAATATTCTAGACCCCTTCTATACGGCGGCGTAGGGCGGATATAATGCTGCCCGACCTCCACAAGCAAAACTATAACTATAATAGAACTATAACTGCAATTGTTACTCTAACCAGGGTGCAAAATTAACGGGAGTCCGTAGTCAAATACTCCCCGATTTACTGTCGGACTCCCTGATTTGACATATGCAGGATTCCGTGTGATTCCCTGAAAATTCTGCGATACCGACTCAGCAGCAGCAGTAGCAGTAGTAGTAGCAGCAGCAGTAGCAGTCGTAGCAGCAGCAGTAGTAGTAGCAGTAGCAGCAGCAGTAGTAGTAGTAGCAGCAGTAGCAGCAGCAGTAGTAGTAGTAGCAGCAGTAGTAGTAGTATTTTTCGGGGTAGCAACAGCGTTACAGTTACAGTTAGAGTAACAATTACAGTTACAGTTACGGTTAGCAGGGGTAGAAATTAACTTTTGAACACGGGAGTCCAACGGACTCCCTACCCTCAAAATGAGGGAGTCCGCAGTCTGAGGTTCAAAATTAAAGAATTATGTGCTTATTTTTAAGATTCATGCAGTTGCACGTCTGCCAAATTTTCTTGGGACAGGGCTGAAAAAATACGGTAATTCCGCGAGGCCGTGCTCCGGAACGAACTTTATGTTCCAACGCGGGAAGAAGAGGTGAGGGAGTTGAAAGAAAGACTAGGATGTACGGAAGGGTAAAGAACCTCTTGCTCCCCCTTCTGCGTTTCTTACACGCGTTGTTCCGATGTTCCAGCGTTGCCGATGCCGTCCGACGAACTACAGAACAACTTCTTCAACCTGCACCAGAGCGCGCCACCGATGCTTGGACAGCCGGGCATGCCGGCGATGCGACCGCCACCTATGGTGCCGCCTGGCATGCGGCCGCCGATGCCCCCGCCACCGGGTACGTCCTACAAATACGTCCTGTGCGGTGACATTTCGCGGGGGGTGGGGCGGGGTGACATTGCGCGGGGGGTGGGGCGGGGTGACAGTTGACGTTGTGAAGTTAGGGAACTGTAACTTAGTAGTAGTAGTAGTAGTAGTTGTAGTAGTAGTAGTTGTTGTAGTAGCAGTAGCAGTAGCAGGGGGGGAGGATAAGAATGGGTGAGAGGCCGCACACTGCTACTGATCTGCTGGGTTCTGTACCCCTCCTTACCTCATCTCTTTCCTATAACTCCCTTACCCCCTCCTCTTCCGATGCTAGAGCATGAGGGAATGCACACACATGCAAACACAGACACATACACACGCACGCGCGCACACACGCGCGCACACACACAGACGCACGCGCACGCGCCAGTGAAAAAAATACACGGGGGCTCGGGGCGATTTAGCTCCCGAAATGCGAAAAAGAGCCCCGGAAATGCCAAAAAGAGCACCCGGAAATTTGCATAGAGTTCAATGCAAACCAAATTTTAGAGAGCTATTTTCATCCACGCGAGCTTGAAAAGTAGCCCCCGAAAAATAAATTATATTT